ATTAGAATAGAGAGTTATGTAGAAGTTTCATAGTGTAAATTTTAGTACCCAAGGGCAAATTGAGTCAAACGGTTTGGCTTGCTGACTTTAGTTGACTTTGACTTGACCGAAATTTGACGGTTGTCACACCTATTACCTCTAAATTGACTAGCCCAGATCTACGGGCGTTACATAAGTCCCTTATTTGAGAAAGGTGGCAGCTGAGTACGCTGGGCGTACGTGTGTGTACGCTTAGCGTACTCATGTGCGTGACTTTTAAGCGGAGCCACCTAGTACGTCGGGCGTACTAGTCTCATAATGAGAAACCCTAATTGAGGGGTGTCCCTACATAAAGAATGAGATAGACTCATTCCTGGCCACCATCCTCAGTCAATAAACCCTCTTAAACCCTAATTCTCGTTCTTGTACTTATGTGTGTCCATTTGAGAGCCTTAAGTGGTTTTTTATGTTCTTGGAGTAAAGAAGGAGCTTTAGAGAATAAGGAGTGGAAGTCCAAGCCTTGGATATGAGCATATCTGAGTTGGGAGCTTCATCATGAGGTATAAAGCTCCAAGCTTTCTTACTCTTTTGTCTTGAGCTTCATATCATAGTATTTTAGGGTTTTTGTCCCAAAGTTGGAGACTTTATGAGTTATTGAGCTCCATAAACTATGAACAACCCCATTTGAGTGTATTTAGTTGTGTCGTGTCATAAAAATCAAGCCTTGGATGTTGGAATCAAGCCATGAATGAGTTATGAGCATTTTGAGTTAATAGAGTGAGTGTTTTGGGTGTTTGTGACCATATCAACCATGCAAAGGCTTAAAGTCTCTGACTTTATGGAGTAAGGGCTATTATGGAATCTGGATATGTGATTTGAGTCAAGGTCTTAATTGATTAAGACCAAATGAGTAGAAAGAGTGAATTTGGGGAGTACGCTGAGCGTAATTCTAGTACCCCCCACGTACTACCCCAGTGTACCCGATGCCCAATCTGGATTCGTGAGTACGCTGAGCGTACCAAGGGAGGTACGCCCCGCGTAACATCACTGTGGACTTTTGGGCTAAGACTCATTTTTGGGCCTGAAGTTTGGGCTTGTTGCAATAGAGTTTTGGACCAGAGGATTTTATATATATATATATATATATATATATATATATATATATATATATATATATATATATATATATATATGCTTTGGGCCCTTGATTTGGGCTTGCCATTTGGATTTGAGAGTTGGGCCTCAGGAAAGCCCATTTATTATTAGGCCTTGGTGGGCCTAATAGGTTTTAGGTTATGGATGGGCTGGTTATTGGACTACCTTTAGACCTAACGAGTAAGAGTTTGGACTTAGTTCCTAATTGGGTTAATTGTGGGTTTGGCTCAGAGTTAGAGGCCGGTGCGTAGCAACAACATTTATAGGGGTTGTTCGTCATCTGAGGTGAGTCTTCTCACTATACTTATCATTAGTGGTATCTTTGTGTGACTGAGATGTATTATGTGTTTATATTGAGCACTGAGATATCCTGCATTGTGTCTATGTGATTTATGTTGTGTATTATTTTGTGCTTACTGAGTTAGGACCAGATGATTCACCCGAGTTATGGACCAGAGGGTCCCATTGAGATACACTGACCAGAGGATCTTACTGTGTTATAGCCTCAAGTGGCTAATGAGCTGTGTGTGGTATTTTAGGGAACTCACTAAGCTTCATACTTACCGTGTTATGTGATATGTGATTCAGGTTTTTCTCAAGATCGCGGGGAGGCACTGTAACGACCCAAATTTTACAACGAAAATTTTCATTTTAATTAATCAAACACATTTGCATAAATCACGAAATCCTAACACAATTGTTTTCAAATCCACATACATAAAATCTTATTTTTAAAACATCAGAGTGTTCCCAGACCATAACAGTGAAAGAGAGATAGAGTGCACCCCGCGCCATCACGCATTGCCTTTGCCATTGGGCTCGGATGCACTTGAAACGAATCTACAGACGGTAAGCTAAAAGCTTAGTGAGTCCCCCAGAATATACCCAAACAAACCACATATCACAATAGCTATAAAGGTTATCTCTACCACATACCACATGTCAATTAGCTAGGAAGCTATCTCTACCATTAGCCGCAAGCCTATCTCTACCATCAGCCATAAGGCTGTCTCTACCATTAGCCATAAGGTTGTCTCTACCATTATGCATAAGGTTGTCTCTATCATTAGCCATAAGGTTATCTCTACCATATATCATGCATACATACATATCACACCTCTACATAGCAAGTAAACCAACAAACGTAAAATGGGCCGACCTTAGTGCCTTAGACCCAATTGGTATGGTGAGAAAACTCACCTCACAAAGTTGAACTAGCAACTGAAAACAGGTATGTCCTACGCTGCTCCTCCCAAACAGCCTATAACCAACAAATGAATTATCTTAACTCAACCCCTAATGCTCCTCTGAGTCAAACTTGGTCAAAGTCTAGGTTTGTAGTCAAGGTTAACAGTCTATATTGGCCTTGACTCGTTGAGTGCAATCAACCACTCATCAGGTTTCCTTCTTAACTCATCGACTTTCCGAGTCACCCAAGAGACTCGTCGAGTTCCTTGATGTTTACGACCGTAAACTTCCAACCGAACACCCTTGACCACGAACCTTTGGCCATGAACCCTTGGTCGTGAATGGGAAAACTCTCTCGACTCGCCGAGTCCCCTTAGTCCATTATGTTTACGGCCCTTTCTAGTGGGACTCAAGGTCCCAAACTTCAGATATATCTGCTACTAGTGTAGATAACACGTAAAGTTGCAAACTTTACGTGCATGCAAGGCCTCACATGGCCATAACACAAAAAAATGACCTTCAAACAAGGTTTTCATGCATGGGAAGGGAATAAGATTAATAAAAGGTGCAGCTTTATGATATTTGGGACCTAAGGAGGTCTAGATCTTGAATCATATCCTTGTGATAGGTACATATCTAAGTTTGCTTCCATCTCCTCAAGGTTGGCCATAACTTCCAAAAAGAAATCAAAGCTTAAGGTAGCAGATTAATACCTCAGACAGATGCCTGACACGAAATAGATGCTCGATCTAATACTTCTCCCTTGATACTTCCTCTTCAAACTTGGAATCCTCCCCAAAATCTCAAAGCTAAGCTCCCAATTATTCTTACTTCACACACTAGAGGGTTTGCGGCCGTGAACGTCCTTCTATGGTGTTAAGGGAGGCTATTAGGGTGGATTATGAAGTTTATATAGGGGGAAAACCCCAAGAATATGGTTTTCTTTAAATAGCTCTGACTCGCCGAGTCAGTTCCGGCCCGCGTCTAAGATGACACGACTCTACTCGATGAGTTGATCTCCTAATTCACCAAGTCTATGCATAAAACCTTCCCAAATTGGCAACTTTCCAACCAATACCCAAACCAGGTGTTACAAGCATCGGCTTGACTGTACACACCAGTGAAAGAGTTATGTTTTGATACCTTTGGGGAACACGCGGTTCATTGCAGAGAGCTCCCTGGTTTCAAGTATAGACATGATGTGGTTCGGCGTGCTGGTATATCGGTGAAGAAAGAAGCGCTAGTGAACTTTTTGACGGACCCGCAGGATGGCAGGTCCACACTTAGACCGACTGACGTTTTGGTCTTTGGATGGATAGGAGGGAAGCATGCGTGCGTGGATCTTACTGGTGTATCTCCTCTTGTTGGTTTGGGGAACGGAGGTTTCGCAGCTGGGCATGCCGCTTTGAAAGCCGCTGCGTGCAAAGTGGTAAAGCACGACAATGCATGTAGAGAAAATCAACATGTGTTTGTTCCTTTTGTATTCGATACATTTGGTTTTCTCGCACCAGAGGCAGTGGAGCTCCTCAACAGAGTCCAACGGGTCATGCATTCTAATGTCATATCTCCTAGATCCACAAATGTTGTTTTCAAAAGAATAGGTTTTGCCATCCAAAAAGGGCTAGCGACGCAGCTTGTTGCCCGTTTGCCTTTAATCGATATGTATTGAATCCATGTCCAATGTTTGAATAGAAAATATATATTTCCATTATTAATCAAACAATTATAAAGTTGCGATTTGTAAATTAAATAAATGAGAATTATGTGATTTTAAAATAAAAAATCTGTTTGAAAATTTCGGTGTTAAAATCTTTCAATGGCAATTCAAAGGATGGTATAGTCGTATAGACAAAAAAAGTATTGGCATATAGACATTAAAGCACTAGAAGAAATGTTGAAGGTGGTGCGTGAGTTTCACAAGTAGGACGTATAGTCGTATAGACAAAGAAATAAGTATTGTATAAGGGGTTTAAAGAAGGATAGTGAGGTTCAACATGAATAATGATTTATACATGTCGAGAGTAGCTAACTGAAGGGATCTGTTGTGTGTCGATATCAAGAATAAACATCAACTTGATCCTCAAGAACTGCCCTCGATTTGTAGGTCATTTTTCGAATGCATATATGGAGTTTTAATCATCGTATTTATCTCTTAAGTATAAAATAACCATCTTAATTACTTGTTAAAACATAACCACTATGACAGATCAATAAATTATACACATTTTTTTGACGTGTTAATTCAAAATGTCGTAGTAACACAACCGAAAGCTTGATGGAACAATGCATTGTCACTATATGAACTTGTGGCTATTCTTCCATCCTTAGTGTTGTGTATGTCGATCATGAGAGAGAGAGAGAGAGAGAGAGAGAGAGAGAGAGAGAGAGAGAGAGAGAGAGACGCCCCAAGTTTTGTCTACGTGTCACTCAAACCGGCTAAAATAAGTAAAGATGACTAAAAAAGCAGGTTATCAATGAGTTGATTTCCTCATAAAGCCACGAAAATAGTTTATGGACTAAAAGTACCAACCTAAAAAATCGTTGGACATTTGTATAGTTCCCCTTATTTTGGAGGTCAAAACTACCAAGAATGCTATAGTCTGAGGGCTAAAGTGTAAACATTAGATCTTCCGTGCAAATTAAACGGGGGTTTTCCAACGCGCCCTACCAAATTTCCCCATTATCTGTGCCCTACTAGTTTCTTGCAAGGACACACAGTGTCCTCCTTCCTTTTCGAGATCGATGCGAATCGCTCTCAGAACGCTGTTGGTGAGGAGATGCAAAGGAATTGAATCTCAATTCCAGTAATAAATTCTCTTTTGTGTTTTTCATTGATCGTTTGCCTGTTTTTTTGGCTAGTCACCGCTTAATCGGGGTGTACGTGCTATACTCGTCTTTTGTTGTGGTTTTTAGTTGCGTTACTTAATCTTAAGTATTTTGAGTTTAGGTGCTCTGACATTGTTCAATCGCAGTTCGTTTTCTGTTAATCGAAGCTACTGGTTTGATTACTTGATCAATATTGGGTTGTTGGTCATCAGCTTAGGTTAATCTGTTTGTAATGCACCAGCTTCTAGGGGAAGACGACTCAAGGTTTATTAATCACCGTTTTTGGGTCTATCTAGTTTTTAAAAGATTTTCCATTGAGCTCTTTACTTTTCTTATTCATGGTAATCCCGAAGTTCTTTTTTAGCAACAAAGTTGTTCCTTCTGTTCAAGAAAGATCCACTCTTGATGTAACAGCTTTCGCTTCCCAATGCTAAAAGATATGTTTTATTTAGGAATTAGGATTTAAGGTAACATTATTCTATTTTTGTTGCCTGTTAAAGTGTTTTAATGTAATGTGCATCAATTTAAGATGAAATTAGCTCCCTCAGTCTGTAGGATAAGACACCGTAACATACTTATGCTGGTATTTGTCGTAAACTTTAGTTTGATTTATGTTTCCCATGCTTGATTAAGTAGAGTCTGAGTTTAGCTGATTCTGACATTTATTTTTTATCTTTTGTAAAATTTTCAGGTTCATGGAATCACGGGTCTAAACTAATACACAAGGCGTTTTACTTGGTAGGGCTATTGTTACTAATTCATTCCTCATAGCATACTTCTTGGAGTTGGGGGCTATTAGAATAGAGGTAAAGTTTTTGTTACCTTAATACTCGCTAGCCATAATGAATGTCCTGGTAATGTTTGATTCATTGTACCATGGGGATTGTTGTTTAGTTCATTCCCTTAGGAACATATGAAAGTATGATAGAGATAGACCAGTCAAGTTAATTAATTTTAAAAAAGGTTCATAGAAGTATCGAACTTGTGATGAAATAAGCCAATCCATAGTTAATTAGTTGCTGTTGGTTTGCAGGTGTATTGGATAGTCTGAATCTGTTTTAGGAAAACCTGCAAAGCTAGTGATGGCTCCCAATCCCAGAGTTGCAAAAGCCTTTCGTGCTATGAGAGAGATTGGGATTCCTGAAGAGAAAACAAAACCAGTGCTGAAAAACCTTCTTAAACTCTATGAAAAGAATTGGGAGCTTATTGAAGAAGAAAATTATCGAGCACTTGCAGATGCTATTTTTGACAGCGAGGAGACAGAGGCAGTAGAACAGAAGAAAAAACATGATATTGCTGAAGCTGAAGTAAGTAGATACAAACCATTCATTGTGTTTTAAACAGTTTATAGCACGAGTATCCAACATTTGATTGACATCATCTTTCAGGCTATAGAACAGAAAAAGAAACTCGAGCTAGCTGAACGGATGAAAGTCATTGAAGAAGAAACACAAATTCCAGAAGAGCCAGAAAGGCCTTTAAAGCGGTTGCGTTTAAGGCACCAAGATGGACATGCTTCACCCTCTTGCACCACCTCCAGCCCTAATTCAAATGGCACACCACTGAAAAAGCCAAAACTGGAGATTGATGACATTCCTTATGCTATACCTCGGACTCGATCACATGCCAAAACTAATGAATCTCAGCTTGTTTCACCTCAATCACAAAGTAGAAACAAGGGGAAGCAACCTGTTTCAGACTGTAACACCCAACCAGATGTCACAAATGAAACAGGAGGTGATTCTGCTATCCGATCAAGGCATCCGAAAGACAAAGGGAAAGAACCTCTTTTACCTCAAACTGGCTTTCAAGAAAAGAGGTCAACTTCTGATAGGCCATCATCCCATGGAGTGAGGTTTAAAGAGCCAAAGGTGAAGCAGAGCCCTCTTGCATTAATAAAGCCCAAAGATGAGCCACTCACAGATGACAACACATCAAAGGTTGTGGTGCCTCTTGCAGTGATAAGACCAGGTACTTCTTGTTTATATTATAGCATCTTTATAGAGTGACAAGTGTTTTATGTATTTTTTTTCCTTTTCTTTTATACTTACAGAGTCATTGACCAATGGAGATTCTTCAACTGAAAATGGTCCAGTCAGCGAGGCTGCTCAACTGATTGCAGCGGTCAATGATGAGTCAACAACAAAATTAGATATTGCTTCCTCATCTTCTGGGGAAATCAAGATGTCTTTGACCTGTAATATTGTAGGAAAACCTAACATATCTATCACGGATGTGGATTCTGTATTGAAAACAATGGAAGATAAATGTCTTAATTCGGTCAAACTCCTGGACCCAAGTATTTCCATAAAGCAACTGATGAAAGACATGTGTGAGTGTCTTCTGGATACTGACACCACCTCTACACCACCTGCTAAACCATCCGGAAGATGTTGTGTAGCTGATCCAGACACTAAAGACATGCCATCCGACACCAATGGCTCAGTCAATGAAAGTCAAAGGGTCACCGAAGATGATTGTGAAAATGGTGTTCATAATAATACAGAGTCAGTTTCTGATGTCATAAGGTCTACCCATGATGTGAATGACATAGCTAAAGGGCAAGAATCGGTAATAATTTCATTGGTGAACGATGTGAACAACGAGTGTCCTCCATCTTTCCATTACATTCCCCAAAATGCAGTTTTCCAGAATGCATATGTTAACTTTTCACTTGCGCGAATCAGTGATGACAATTGTTGTTCCACTTGTTTTGGTGATTGTCTGACATCATCAACGGTTTGTGCTTGTGCACTGCAGTCTGGTGGTGAGTTTGCATACACAAAAGAGGGTCTTGTGAAAGAGACGCTTTTAGATGAATGTATAAAAATGAACCGGGACCCTCAAAAGCACTGTTTGTTTTACTGTAAGGAGTGTCCACTTGAAAGATCAAAAAATGAAGGGATCACAGAGCCATGTAAAGGACATTCTGTAAGGAGTTTTATAAGAGAATGTTGGTTAAAATGTGGATGCAATAAACAGTGTGGTAATCGTGTAGTACAACGTGGTATACAACGTAAATTACAGGTATAATATCTTGTTAATATGTATATATATATATATATATATATATGCTGCTGTTAAGATTCTTTTTGTATAATTTTATTTGTTGTTGTTGTAGGTGTTTATGACACCTGGAGGAAAAGGGTGGGGTCTGAGGACACTTGAGGACCTACCTAAAGGTGCTTTTGTTTGTGAATATGTTGGAGAAGTGTTGACCAATGCAGAACTGTATGATCGGGTTCAAAAAAGTTCAAATAAAGATGAACATGCTTATCCAGTGAATCTTGATGCTGATTGGGCTGCAGAGAGTGAATTAAAGGATGAAGAAGCTCTTTGTTTGGATGCCACTTATTATGGAAATGTCGCTAGATTCATCAATCATCGGTAATCTTCCCAAAAAAAAAAAAAAAAAAAAAAACTCTAGAGTCTAGATGTGCTGAAGAGTCGTTTTCAATTACATATTTCTTTTGGTAGGTGTTGGGATCCAACTTTAGTGGAGATTCCAGTGGAAGTTGAGAATCCGGATCATCACTACTATCATGTATGTAAATCAACACACTTTTTTAAATGTTTATTTTACTATGTTGGAGTAAGTGAATCTTTTTGTGGTATTTGCAGCTTGCCTTCTTCACTACAAGAAAGGTGAAAGCCCTAGAAGAGTTAACATGGGTGAGTAAGAGTTAGATATTTAGTTCTTGGGAATTCTGGATCCCACTCTATTGTTTATGTTACGCAATTAATTTCATCGATTTGTTTATTATAGCATTTTCTCTATTACAACATTTTACTATAGAAAATCCATCCTAAATTTATTTGGGTAGATATATGAAAAAAAATATAGTTGCTATAATACACAACGTTGCTATTTATTGCATTGAATATGAATATGAATATGATGCAGGATTATGGCATTGATTTTGATGACGAGACACATCCCGTGAAGGCGTTTCAATGCCGATGTGGCAGCAGGTTCTGTCGAAACAATAAACGTCCAAACAGTAAGTAATATTATTCTCTATTCTCTCTCCCTTTTTGTTGTTGTATGATGGATATAATTATATATATATATATATATATATATATATATATATATATATATATATATATATATATATATATATATATATATATATATATATATTGAGTATGGAAAGTTTTGTTTTTTGTGTTGTGAACTCTTAAATCTGTTATTTGTTCTGTTATGTTGTTACAGGACACAGAAGAAGAAGATACACTTAAAGTTAAGATCCGTTTTTGAAGCTCATAATTCTAGCCATGGTGATGGTGATGGTGATGCTGTTTCATATCTATCTTATGTATTGTACTGCATGTAATAACCAAACGTCAAGGCTTATTTTAGGTATTTTGGTAGACTTTTTTTTTGTACCTACAAAATCCATAAAAAACCATTACAACTTTGAATCTCGACTTTCACTTTATTTCTTGTATGTGGTTTGGTTTGTGTGCGTATTCTATTTCTCTCCACTGTGAAGCTGACAAATAAAGGTGCGTTACCTTGCATACATCACCATCCAGGCTGCGGAATGACCAAATTCCATTTCCATGGCATCAACTTATATTATTTGTGAAAGAAATTATAGAATTTAGAATACATCTCTGTAAACTAGTGAGCTGAAAGCGCATACGAAACACATGTCCAGTGACAACACGTTCCCTAATAAGATATAACTATATTTCCACATGCTTGGTACATTGATTGGTGTTGTAACATTATCACAAAACACAAGTGGCTTTAGTTAATGGCCAAGACAACTTGAGGAGAATATTACGAAGCCAAACAGCTTTAACAACATTCGTCACCCCATGATACAACTTTGGTACTGGATTTACAGACTATGTGTTGATGTTTGTCACATAAGTAGACAAAAATTATCACATAAGTAGACACAAAACCCATATGTGGACCGATGAGTCTAAGGACAACCAACCCAATCAACATTAGAGTATAAGACCAAACAGTGTGCAGACCAAACAGTGTGCGGATGACGGTCAGATGAATAGACCATGCATCAAAGTACTATGTAAATAACGTAAAAAGGACTTCAGGATCTTGGGTTTTCTAAGGCGAAACAATCTTCGGTAAGATGTCCAAAAGATTCATGGTAAGTACCCTACTTAAATTTATCTTTCTATCATGGTGTTTTGTCATTTTTCTTGGGCCATCTTGCCTTGTCCCCAATATCTTGCATTTCATAAAGCAAATCAGAAACATTAACAAAAAAACATTTCATAAAGCAAATCAGAAACATTAACAAAAAAACAGTAGTCATATATCTTAGGATAATATTCATCTTCTAGAGCATTAACTCTATGATTATTAGGTCTTGAGTAAGGTTTAGCTTTGTAAGATTTTTGGGAAGAAGAATTGTTCTTCCTGTTTGGATGATCGTAGGATGTGTTCATCAACACATCTTCTTTTGGATATTTTTGTCTTTTTTGAGCCTAATAAATATTAGGGCTTTACTTGCTTTACTTGTGACTTCATCCAATTTCTTGCATGTGGTCGTGACAGGATTCTCGTAAAATGGAGAATCTTTCTTTAGTTCCATCTTGAAGGCTTCCGCGGCTATCACAACATCTAAATGTGGAATATCTAGGGATTCTTTCCCAAACCTACTTATATAATCCCTCAAAGATTCATCATTGCCTTGAGTCACTCTGTAAGGTCATTTTGTCACACCCCTAAACCAGAACGGTGAAAATGTCTGGGGGTGGATGGAGTGACTTCATGTATAGTATCATAACAGTTGGATATAAATGAATCATAACATCATAAACATTCATACATTGAAAATACAAGTTTACATTGTTTACAGACTTCGTTTACTCAAAAGTTAAGTACAAGAAATTTAAAAGTAGAAATCATGAAGTAGTGACGCCTGTCCTCAAAAATGTTTTCGTAATACTTGTTCACTGGTTTCATGAGTAGAGATGAGCGTGGGACGGAACCGGTACCGACCCGTCCCATTCCCGATTTCCCGAATACCGAATTTGATCGAAAGTTAATCCCGAGTACCGAACCAAATTAACATCACCGGTACCGGGACTGGGAATGGTACCGGTACTCGGTACTAGTACCGGTACCCGCGGTACCGATTCCCGAATTTCATGTATTTGGAGTACCAAGTACCATCCTATATTTTTAAATTCGGTACGGTTCGGTACCAGTTCCGGTACGGTACCGGCACGAGATCAGGATTTGGGACAAACTGCTCATCCCTATTCCTGAGAATACAAACAGTTTTAAAAAGCGTCAACATTAAAGTTGGTGAGTTCATAAGCGTTTTTGTATAAATAAAAATCTATAGTGTTTCCTTGTAAATGATAGCGTGAAGTTTTTCCAGAAAATCCAATATTTTATTAAATGCAAGATGTAGTCTTAAAACCCTAAAAAAATGTAAGTATTGTTCTATTGTAAAGTAGTATCATATAGTTTTATATATTTTATAAAACCGAATGAAGATGCATTAGCCCCCGTAAACCAAATGATTGTTAATACTTTATGTGAGTTACTATAACCATGCTTAATACGACTAGTGACCTGTACGACGTTCTTCGGGCGTCGGAGTTGGTAGACATTTGTCACCCTAGACTTTCGGTCTAACTGTAGCGAACAACTTAGGTGCGGGTTTGTCAATCCCTATGGATTCATACACAAATGTCTCGCTCTACCTCTAAGAGACTCTGGTTATAATGCAGGACTTGAGGTGAACTTTAGGTAAAGTACGTGAAGAGAGTGTGTCTCACAAACTGTATCAACGATTTACGTGTAATGTAGTGGACATTCTTTTGTATGTAAAAAGATTTCCTTTTGTTTAGTAGTTCTATAGAGTGGCAAAGTGATAGTTTGAAAAATTTATCTATTTATAGGGGTGCTGACTGGTCTACTCGCCGAGTAGGGGGGACCTACTCGCCGAGTTGGTCCATGTGGTGGCCTTCTGGTGGTGCCACGTGTCCAATTCTGGTGGTGCCACGTCACCCCCTATCGCGTATCAGCCCTCAAACTTAGAAAAATCATAACTTTCGCATACGAGCTCCGTTTTCGACGTTCTTTATATCCACGCGTAGGTAAAATCAAGATCTACAACTTTCGTTTAGACTCCGTCGGCTAATTATCGACCGATCTCAAATTTAACAGTAGGAGGCATTTAGACTGTTAAATGACCGTGAAGAGTTCATAACTCCTTCATCCGGACTCCGTTTTCGTCTGTCTTTTTACCGTTGAGTTCCTATTAATGAGACCTTCAACTCTCATTTAGGTCGCGTAAGCCAAAAAACGCTCGAACTAAAATTCGAGTTTCGGGCCGTGCACTGCTAAGCCGAATCTTAGAAAAATCATAACTTCTTCATACGAAGTCAGATTTGGGCGTTTTTTTTATCGATGTTCTTAGTTTAACATATTCTACGACTTTTGTTTAGATTTCTAAGGCTTAGCAGTGCACGGCCCGAAACTCGAATTTTAGTTCGAGCGTTTTTTGGCTTACGCGACCTAAATGAGAGTTGAAGGTCTCATTAATAGGAACTCAACGGTAAAAAGACAGACGAAAACTTTCGTTACGACTTTTTTTTTATCGATGTTTTTTTATCGATGTTCTTAGTTTAACATCTTCTATCGTAAATTCACTATTTACGCCTCCCGGTGTCGTGCCGGTTTTGCCGTAAAACTTCGGCGGGCCATAACTTCTTCGTTATAGCTCGGATTTCGGCCCCTATTGCCTCTATTGCCTCTAATTTGACTAGCCCGGATCTACGGACGTTACACCTGAAGCAACAAAACACGATATAAACTACTAAAGTGGCTAACATTCTAGCTCTTAGAACAGCTACAACTATATTAATAACACGTAACTTGAATCAACAATAATATCAACTTAGTTCTTTAACTAAGTTGACCTAATACTTTATCGTTGGACCTACATTTTATCTAAAATAATACTCTAATCCAAATAAGTGAATAATTGGTATTAAATATTTAATTAGTCATTCCAAATAAACGACCCATTAACTACCTAATGATATGTCACAATACGTTTATATTCTTTATTTATATCTAAATTATCATCGCATTCCAAAATCCATATAGTTAGATCACTTCATCAATTTAATTAGACAATACTAATTCATTTATCATAATATTTGTAAAACTAATTTATACTTAATAAATTAGTATTATAATAATCAGTTTAACATTTAACCAAAACTAGTTAAACCTAACACCCATACAACCCACAATAAAATTTAGTTACATGGATTTGATTTTCATTGGATCTTATAAACCTAAACCCATATTGGGTTGTGGTGACTTGGTAAGGCATGTGGAAGATATGGTGGATAACCTATTGATCCATATTCAAATCCTGACACCACTCAGCCCTTGTGGTCATGGAGGTTCGCCTGCAGTGACTCCAGGGCATGAGGCAAAGTTTTATGTTTGCAGCGGGGGATTAGTCGGTGCGTGAAAGCTGGCCCGAAAATCATCGTTAGGGAAGTTCCCTTTCCAAAAAAAAAAACAACCCATAATCGAAATGTACACCGAGTCCAAAAATGTAACCCAAATCTAGATCAAATCATAAAAGTCAAAATCTAAACAAAACACAAAGGGCGTGTTCAGCAAAAATAGCTAGTAGCAGGTAGCTTGTAGCGGTAGCTTCTAGCTGGTAGCATTTTGTTAAACGCTACGTGAAGTAGCATTTGAATTTAGAGAATTTTGTTTAAAGTAAACGCTAGAAGCTCGTTGTGCCAAATGAGACTTTCTGTTTGAAACAGAGCGTTTTGTCAAACGCTAGAAGCTAGAAACTCTCAAATGCTCCGTGCCGAACACACCCAAAGTTAGATCGGTCAAGCCTTTGTACCTCCCTCGCACTTCTGTAAGAAATCACCATAGAACTCCAAAGTAAGGTGCTTCACTGGAGTTGATTACTGGTCGCCAGAAACTAGAAATTGTTGGTGATTTCTCATATGTCGTGGGTTCGTCGTCGTATACCGGAGCTACTATGGTAACCGGAGAAAAGGAATGAGTTGGAAAACAGTCGAAGCTGGAAGCGAGACCCAACATGCTTCCTCTTGGATCTCTTTTGTCTTCTTCATTCTTTCTCTGGTTGTCGGAACTAGTAGCCGAAGCGATAAGATTTCACTGAAAAACTCAAGAACCATTCAAGTTACCATTCGCATACACATTACAACCCCAACGACTGCCTCTGTTCTAAAAAAACCCTAGTGTCCTCATAAGATTGTTTAAATATGGGTAAATATGGCTCGTTTGATTCTTTTTTTTTTTTGACCTAATGAGATATTGTAGGTTCCAAACAGGAAAGGAATAGCGTTAGCTGGTTGTATCGATCGAATAGGGATGCGTTGTGTTCAAATGAACTTCATGAGCATCTCGATAATTTCTAAACTCTCGATTCCGTTTATTACTCAAGGAAATATCGTGGACAGTTGCCACCGGAGGTGCACCCTAATGCCGCCGGTGATGGTGGTTTGTGGCTCCTTCTCATTGAAACCTTCAGGGTGTGTTTGTGTGTTATTTTTTTGGAGTATTTTCTGATAATGCATCCTTGAAATCTCTTTGTTGATTAATTGGTATGTAAGCTTGGTTGAAATTAAGCTTATTGTTGGTGTAAGTTTGCCTTATTTATGGTTTTGTTTATTAATTCACACTTGTCTATCATTGTCAGATGAAAATGATATGAACCCAAAAACAAACACAGAATAGTAACTTTTTAATATAATTCTATTAATTAGAACTCAAATTTATGCTTCAATCAAGTTATTAAACTTTACATCGATTTAAATTTATATGACAAAATTGTGTGCCGCTGCATTATACGGATAAATTAGGATAGTATTAACTAAATATAATAAAGAATAATTATATGTAATATTTACAATAAAAAGAATTAAGTATCCTTTATGATCGTGACAAGTTGTGGACCGTTTTAAGTATCTTGAAAGCCCTTTCACCGGATGAAAGCCCAAGCCTAAGTGGGCTTTTAAATTTGTTTCGCAAGCAACAGTGCAACACTATTAATGCTTCTCTCTTCCTCGCCCCTTTCATTTCTCTTTAAACACGTATTTCAGTATCTACACCCGCCGTGTCTCTCTTCCTTTTAATTTATTTCGTTAGGGGTTTTTTTTTTAGATGAAAATTCTGGCTTTGAAGATGATGCCCGCAAATCTTCACGTTCACTTACCTTAATGATACTCATCGTTTTCTTCTGGTTTTGTTCACACGATTTGTTTATTTATGTTCCTGTGGATATTAGATGCTTCGAATATATGTTATTTTCAATTTCATTATTGTCGTGGGACGTCTGTTGGTGCTAATTAATTGAGGAGGCTGTGAAATAGGATGCTGAAGTGTTGGTCTAGATTTAAAGCTGTGTTATATTCCCTATCTTTTCCATGTTGGTAAGGAAGACTGTTAGCAACTTCGGCTTAGAAAGTGAAATGTTTTTTCTGTTTATGTATTATTATGAATCGCTAAACCCTGTCTTGTTTGAAATTGGGTGATAAGCTGAATTTATAAGACTGCAGGTTGGTTGTTTTCATATTAATTGTTTCTAAGTTAGTGTAATTTTATTTTTTTTATGCAAACTCATGATATTGTTTTGACTTTTGATTTAGATGCTGAGGTTAAAACCGGTGAATCAGTTGATGTAGTTGTTGAAGAAGGCTCTGTTTTGCCATTTGTACAGGTATAATTTTTGGAACAGTGGGATATACATTTATGTTGTGCTTGAACAAAAATTTTCAGATATCACACAACGGGAAACATGGCAGTGTCTATTGTTATGGGACTAAACATAACAATAGACGTTAATTTCTGATCTTTAGTAGTTAGTTTGTGGGTACAGCTTTTGTGAGTATCACTATCAATTAGATGTTAATTTCTGATCTAATTAACTGTCTTATAAATATCGATTTTGTTGTTTCTGGTATCAATTAGTTGTGTGTGGGTCTGAATAGTAGTTCACTTAATTGTTATCACGTGTAGCATACTTATATTTAGATTATAATGGCTATATATAGTTTACTTAACTGTGGTTGGAGATGTTGTTGAAGAGTATTTTTTTTTTTTTGGTTTAAGAATGATGAGCGTTGCAGAGATAATGAAAAACTATTCTTATTATCCTTCTTTTGTTTGAAATTGCTATTTAAAATACTTCCAAAAGTCTGGCAAAATACTATCACAATGTTAATATTCAGTCAAATGTATGTTATGATTGAAAATAAATTAACTAGCTTCAAATAATTATAAAAATAAACTACAACTTTGTTTCTTTATTTGCATCTTTTTTAACATTATGCTTTATGTATTCTGATTTGGTTATTTAACTTTTCTTATAGGGTGTGATTAGCTGAGAAGACTTTCCAACTTTACAACAAACATCTTCCTACCAGTAAATTATCCCTTGGATGATTTTTGTTTTGCATTTTTACTTTTGGAAGCCATTTAGATTTCTCTTAAAAATGATATAGGATAGTTTTTCCATTGAGCCCAAATATCAAATACTTAAGCAATTGACATAATTTATTAAAAGTTGGAATGCAATTGTTGAAATTTTCACGATGCTTGAGACCATTGTTTGATGTAACCAAATCATAAAATTTTAAGATATTAAAATTTACTTTTAAATTTGAAAATGATTTGGACCTCATGATCAGACAAACACTCACCAAAACCCTCAGAATAGGCGGCAAGGGCCTAAGCAACTTAGGCAAAACTTGTGTGCGTAAGTTAAAAAATATCAATTCCTTTAAGATTTTTGGACTTCATAATAGAAAGTCCAACGTCCACCAAAACATATAGAATATGCGGTAGGAACATGTGTTGCACTTGCAACAACAACCGAAATAAAATTTGCCAATTTAAGTGCAATGAACAATATGCTATATTTTGATTTTCCTAAAAAGAAAAAAATCTCCACAAAACTTATTGGTTATATTTTGATTTTCCTAAAAAGAAAAAAATCTCCACAAAACTCATTGATTACAAGTGATGATGCAAGTCATTAATTTAGAATAAATAGCTTGAAATAAGTTAGATTTGGATTTGATGAGATGAAAACCAATGTCGACCGGTTCCGTTGAATAGGAGGTGAGGAACCCGTGCATAGCATGTCAAACCCAACTACATGGGAACAAGAATACCAACTATAACTTTTTAGATCCATTAATCACATATTGACACAAAAATCCTAAAGTTTTTTAAAAGATTGTGATTTAATTCTACAATCATTTTTAGATGCAGTAAAACCGAAAGTTTTCTAGTTTTGTTTTTCTACTATTACTCTTGTCACCTCCTATCATAGCTTTAAGTTACCAAAAAATAAAATTTGAAAGAAAACACTCAAGTTTGTAATTGTTTTACATATTTACCCTAAATATGTTTTTTCATGTTATACGTATTCATACATAAATACATATTTTTATGTATTTATAAATTTTATTTAGTTAAACATCATATTTGTATATTAAATAAAACTATTTCCTTATATATATTTTCTTATTTATACGGTTTAAAGCCAAAATTATACTCAAAAAGACGTAAAAAATATATATGTTCTTACTTTTAAAAGGAATAAAAAATACTTTTAAAAAGAATAAAAAAATATATTACAACTCAAGAGTCTTTTCTATTTTAAATGTAGTTTTGATTCTAAATCTAATGTAATTAGTCATGACTTTTTATTTTCTACTACATTCACAGTTTTTTTTTAAGTTATGCTTATTAATGTTCAATGCTTTTTTATTTTCCACTTATTTATACACACTACAACTATATTTGTACTATATAAATAAGTTTTGATCAAAATATGTTTGAAAATATTTGTGATTCAAATATGAAAAAATTTGAAAAAATGAGTTTTGTCACATCAAAGATTAATTCAACGCGTTTTTTTTATAACAATATTTCTATATATCAAATGTATGTTGATTTCTAAATATTCATTTTGAATGATTTATAAGTGTTTAATGAGTTTTGTTTGATGTAAATGGTATACAAAATGTTGTGATGTTTTTATGTTGTTAAAACTTGTATTTTTCCATATTATTTCTTATTTGTTTTATATACAAATCAATATATGTTTTATATATAACTGCACAACTTAAAACGGTCTATAAAATCATCAGAAAGTTATAGTATTTATTTTTTCACACACTACTTTGTTATTTGATATATATAGAAATCAATATACGTTTGATATACAATTTACACAATATAAAACGGTCTATAAATCATAAATTAATAGTAGAAATAACCAATGATATAAACTTATTATAGTTAATAAAACTAATAGGTTAACTATATGTTTTATTTTGCTACTGACATTGGTTTTTGCATGTATAAATACTAAATCACAATTTTGTAAAGTTTTATTATTTTAATTAAATAATTATATTCATGCACAACGTGTGACGATTCACTTACTATATATATATATATATATATATATATATATATATATATATATATATATACACATATAAATGGATAGATGTTTTGGACCAAACCTTGTGTAACATCTTGGGAATTATACGATTCATGTTGCATGCATAAGCTTGAACCCATTCAAGTATGGAGATTCTTCAAGCTTAGGACTTTAATTGCTAGATAGGTGTTGGAGGCAAGGCTCGAACGCGGGACACTCATATCTTGAAAGCTCAACGTTCAGTGCATGAAGTTGGATGCGGAGGCCAAGACGAACGCGGGGCGTTCCATGTAGGAGCGCAGGGTGTTCGACGTCTGTACTCAAAAACCCTAAGTGTGCACTATTTAAACAACTTAAGACCCAAGGCTCTGCATTCTCTCAGCCTCCATTGTATCTTAAGCCTCTTTTCGAAACCCTAACCCTAATTGTGAGTGTGTGAGCTTGGAAGACCATCTTTGAGTGTATTTTGGTGTCCTTGAAGAAGAGTGATCACATATTAGCTTTATTTGTATATCTAAACATATATATATATATATATATATATATATGTTATTATTAAGTTCATGACTTTTTATGGAACCCGTATAGCGAACTTTCAACCCAATCAGTTCCAAACAATTCAGCTTTAGGCAATTAGTTGTAGAATACCCCTCGAGGTTTACTGATTCGAGTCCTAAAGGTCACAGATTAACTTAATAATTTTTTTTTAATTTTTAATTTTTGTTTGCCATGTTTATTTCCATATATTTTCGTCTTGACTCTTTTAGGGGGACATATGTAAACGCGCAAAGACTTGTAAGTATAGTTGGAAACAATGTCCCCACGTAGGGTATTTAGAAGGGAATAGCTAGAAAAGACTTTTTAGAGCGCTGGAGAATTCAAGCCACTAAAATTTTATATTCATTTTATGACTCTTTTGAATTTGAAGTTTGGATATGAGTGAGCACTTACTACTCATAAGACCGGTTGTGTGTTTTAAGGGCTAACCTATATCTGTCTTTATGCTTCGGTGTTAATAACCTTATCATTTTTTGTTTTGCACGAGTAGCTTCGGGAGACGTGTTCGTGTGAGATTAGATTGCTTCAAGATTTTTCATGAAAAACGAACAAGTTCTAAACTCAAGCCACAACTAATTTACCACTTCAACTTATTCAAGAAGATTAGGTTTATTTAGATTGAATTTTTTTTTTGTTTGTGTTGTATGCTTTGAAATGAATGCATGAAAAAATGAAAATAAGAAAAGTAATTTTTTTTTTGGATTTTTTTTGATGAAATGCATGTGGAAACTAGAGGCTAATGTACAAAAACCCCTCCCCAAGCATAAGATTAAGCATCGTCCGCGATGCTCGGAGAGGGTAAGACAACCTACTTACCATGAATGTATATGGCTATATAGAGCATATGAACGAATTCTCAACAATTCTAGTCAAACAATCTTAGGATTCATGCACCAAACTTGAGATATGGAAGGAATGTACCATTCAAATGCTTGAATTTGTAATGTGTGCTTGACTTTTTTCACTTCATCTTCAACCTCAAGAAAAGTTGAGCTCTTCAATGGTGGAATGCACAAACGGAGGTAAAAGCTTCCCTTCTTCTTTACAAAATACTTTCCCAAGCTTGCTCTTGAAACCCTACAAAAGAATTTTGAAATCTAATATAAGAATCATGTCAAATTTTACAAAGATAAAAAAACTAGGGTTTTATGCAAGATTCGATTTTGTACACTTTCATGGAGGGAATTCTACCTAGATGAAGAATAAGATGGATTTAGGAACTTAAAACAACAAACCTTTGAACTTTAATGTTGGAGTGATTGATGAAAGTCAAAAGTTTATGAGTGTTTAGGAGGAGAGAGTGCACGATCGTGAGTTGTTAGGAGGAAGAATGACATAGAACACATGGTCCAAGCCAGGCCGTACTTTTTTATGATAGCCCATGCTTTTTTTTAGAATGGGCAGTGAGATTTTTTCATGGTCCATGCGTTTGTTTTTTTTGAAATGAGGGAGTTACGCCGACAACACACGGTCCAAAGGTAGGGCGTGTGATTTCAAGTTTTGCCCATGCGTTTTTAGCATGGCCCCTGAGTTTTGCTTCAGCCCATGCGTTTTTAACAATTGGTCGTGCAAAATTTTTGTTTTCTTTGAAAACCTCGATGGTAGCGCACGGTCTAAGGCTTAGGCTGTGCGTTTTTCTTATATCCCATGCTTTTTCAAGTTTGCACATGCCTTTTTTTTAAATCCTCGAAACACACACATGAGTTAAAAAATGAGGCCATGTGTTTTAGAGCTAGACCATGCAAATTTATATGAGACCATGCGTTTTTCTCTCTGTTAACATCAAAAAAATCATGATTTTTTTACCCCTCTCAGTCTTTTAGATATAAAAAATGCTTTGCATGGACTTTCAAAAAGGCTCAAAAACATTTCAACACAAAAAAAAATAAAGAAAATAAAAGAAGAATAGGAAGAAAATACTCCCCGAGTTGCCTCTCGGTTAGCCGCCCTTGTTTCAAGTCTTTGGCTCGACTTGGCCCTAGGAATATGTTATTCTTTGAATGTTGGGGCTTTCCAACTTAATGAACTTTTCGCCGCCTCCTTCAATGGAACACGTATCTTGTACTTGACTTTATTTTTGCGTGGGAACCATGTTGGACTTAGACCCTTAATGACAACAATCGTCCAGCGACCCCTTTCTCGTACTTGTCTAGTAAGGTGGTCAAATCTTCCTTCTTCGATAAGGTGGTCGATTTGATGACCAGTTGGGTGTCTTCCTTCTCGGGGTACATATCCCTTGAAGGGTCCAAAAAATGTATCGTTTTCGGCTCTTGTGGTTGGTCTACCGGCAAAAGGAGTTTCTCATTCATAGTGGGTGGCTCAGCTTCTTTTTTTTTCAACCTCCAACTCATCCTCTACAACTTCTATGTCAGCATTCTTAATTTCTACTTCTTCCTCGACAACCTTTTCCATTTCTACTTCTTCCTCCTCTTCCCCATCTTCAAATTGCAATGTTGGGTCATCAAAAATTTTCCCATCGTTCAAGGTGATGGCAGAAAATGTATGCCTTGGGTCCTCTTCAGTCTGCGATGGTAATTTTCCTTGAGTTTCCAATATACTCACAGATTAAGCAAGTTG